TTGGCCCGGTGGGGCCTCGATGGGGGGGGGGTGGTGGGGGAAGGGTGAGGCCAGGAGCCTTGGCCCACCGGGGCCTCGACTGAATGGGGGGGAGGCTGGGCAGCTTCCCTGGGGGGGGGGGGGAGGCAGATGGCAGTCCACAGCTGCCCACCCGAGCTGGCGCCCATTGCAGGGAGAGGAACAAGCCTGGGCAGCTTGGCTCACCAGGGCCTCGATCAGGCGGGGTGGCAAGGGGAAGGGCGAGCCCAGGGGCCTTGGCCCACCGCAGCCTCGACTGCATGGGGGGGAGGCAGCTTCGCCGGGGGGGCAGGGATGGAGATGGCAGCCCGCACCTGGACGGCCAAGCTAGCACCCGTTGTCTTCAGTCCCACAACGAGCCTTCTGACTAGTATATAAAATAAACTGCTTTGTGTCAGTTTAAACAGAGACAGTGTGTTTACTGTTGCGACAGCTAAGGAGGAAAGAAAATTGTGCAGGGTCTCATCTTTGTTCTCCCATAGCCCAGTAAAGTAGTAAACTTGGTAATATAATGAAACATACAATAAGCTTGTAACTTTGTTTTTGGTCACCCAAATCCCTTTCTGTTTATCCTTGAAGATGCACATTCCCTATTTCGGCTACAGACTGAAGGATTGTTTATGCTGGTCTCTGTTACTGAGTGGTATCAAAAAAAAGCACCTGATGACAGAAAATGAATCTGAGACTGTGTGGATGATTGGGGGGGGGGGGTGTTAAAAGAGGAGACTGTAAAAACTGCCCTAACCGAGAGTGAGACTAGACTCCAACAGAGACTTTGGGACTCTCCAGCAGAGAACTTGCTGCACGCAAAGACCAGGCACCACTCACAGCTGTGTGAGCAGAAAATAGCCGCTCTGAGGTTCCACCTGTGCGCTGCTTGTCCAGCACTGGGTAGTAAGAGGCAAGAATAGAAATTAGTGATAAAGAGCAGGGCGCTTCCAACAGGGACTTGTGGGTGACTTGGCTGTGCTATGCTCCCGACTCAGAGAACTAAGGTTAATGCGTTACGCATGCAAAGTGACAGACATATGGCTGTGGAATATAGGACTGGATTTCATTTTTCTTCTGATTTTATTGTCTGGATCTCTACTTTGGGGAAGGGGTAACATGTGAAGTTCTGAGGAAACGTGCCTGTATTCAGGAAGCAAAACTGGACTTCAACAGTGCCCTAGTGGACACAGGGTCCATGGTGTTGTTTCTTGCTTCCCTTTCCTCTCCTAGACAACCCCAACAAAGTTCATGGGAATACTTTACTGCACAGAAAGCGGAGTGTGTTAAGCCCTAGATGCCAGCTGAGAGATCTGAATCTCTGCTCTGAGCTGGAGGGGATTATAGAATACTGAGAGATTCCGGTGGTTTATTGTTCTGAATCCAGAGAGGGTAGCCTACCTCTCTGGGTTGGTGTTTAATGTATTGTAAAAGTATAGGATTCCCTCCCATTCCTGGACAGGCTTGGGGGGTAGAATCCTATACATGGTGGCCTTAGCGTCAGGATCTATGAACTGGAATTCAGGAGGGCCTACTACCACATTCATGTATGCACACATGGTTATCCACTCCTGTCTGCTTTAAGAGGACAGGGTACTTGGGGAAAAAGTCTACAGGCTTGTTGCCAAACCCCCCTAATACTGACATGTATTCAGGGGGTTTTTTGTAGAAAAAGCCCAGCAGGAACTAATTAGCATAATAGGCCACACCCAACAGCAGAGACTTGTTAACGTATTAGGCCACACCCCTGATAGTGCAGCTCATTAGCATATTAGGCAACACCCCATGCCTTCTCTTGGCTTGCCCAAGTGCCCCACAGCTGCAGGGAGCCCAGGCAAGCCCCCCCTTGAAGGGAAGGCTTACCCGGAGACTTGTTAACGCATTAGGCCACACCCCTGATAGTGCAGCTCATTAGCATATTAGGCAACACCCCATGCCTTCCCTTGGCTTACCCGGGCACCCCACAGCTGCGGGGTGCCTGGGCAAGTTGGCCCTTGGACAGGCCGGGGAAGGCACGGGATCCTTCCAGGGGCCCCCCTGGCCTGCCCGCCTCAGATTCACCGGGGGGGGGGGTCGCTCTCCGAGCCTTCCCTCTGTAGCCAGGCACACAGAGGTTTTGGCTATAGTGGGCATGGCCAACTCTGAAGCCAGCCGGAACTCCGTTCCTGTGCGTTCCTGCGCGTTCCTGCCCAAAAATAGCCCTGCATGTACTGCTGAAAATATGCAATTCACCCTACTAGCCAGTTATGTGCTAATGGGATGGGGGAAGAAGACAGCAACCAGGGAATGAAAATCTTGTAGGTTAAGTGCATGTACTAGTGTTATTTAAAAAAAACAAAAAACACCTAGTTCATACATTGTCAGAAGACCAGGAGTAAAAAGCAGACAAGCGAAGTGAAGAGCTGTCTTGTGAGTGCTAACGTAACAGGAGTTACCTGCTTTCAAAGTCTCTTAAACCTCAGCATTTAATGCTCTAGTTTCCAGTTTCTCACGGCTGATGCTCTGAGTGCATTACTCTCTCGATTCAGGGTGTATATACATCTGCACAACTGTCAAATGATTTTTCCACGTGGCAGATGCTTCCTGTGTGCTGAGACTAGACTGAGACTGTGTGCTGAGATAGCCTGCCTGGCAAATGTTTCTACCTATAAAAGAGATCCTACAACTGTATGTGTTCTTCTTACAGCTCGGCTTGGTCCTGGTTTGGAAATTTGTGGCAATACTGAATCTTACTCTCCTGATGAGGAATTCAACAAAAGGATGTCTTCCTTCCTATCTCAAATATGCAACCTGCTACAGAAACCAGCTGCTGATTTCTTTACAGATAGGAGCATCCCTCCAAACTGATTTCTTTTGGACTTTTGGCAGCGTCAACGCAATCAACAAAAAAACCCCTCTCTAAATTGTTTTGACTTCTGTTTTTGGAAAACTATTTGTTGTATGCTCTTCTATCCCATTCTCGTTTTCTTAGCTTGGTAAAGTGAAAGGCCTGCCTATTTTTTCATAGCCAAGTGTGCAGGATTATTTTAGTAATCCAAGAGGGACATTTACATATTTGTTACTAATTTGTTAACGTGGGAGCAAGAAAATAAAACAAATGCTGATATGTTAGTTTGACCACTAGGGATTCATTGTAAGAATCTTTCTACCATTCAAAACCCACTAGAATTTGATGTTTTGAGGGCGGGAAGAATCTTTCTTTCCAGTCAATGTCCTGGAACTTTTACAATATGTACCAGTGTATTTCATGATTATAAATTCATAAAGGTCTCATCAGATTCATGTATGTAAATCCACCCACAGTCTTCTCCCTTGGGCGGCTTTTGGCATTACTTTACACGTGGTAGAGAAAAAGACAAGTCAAGTTAAAGTTGGTATCTCCCTCACGGTATGCTTATTACACCCTTGTCCTTGTGATACATCTCTTACCCATTCTCTCAGATTAACTGTTTCTGCACGTTTAACTATTTCAGGATATCTCTCCCCCCCCCCAAGTGCCTGTGTGAATCACAATGTGGTGCTAACTACAGCTGGTTCATGTGAACAAGTCTTGAAGTTCCCTCCTCCTACTCAAGCAAATAGTTCACTCTCTGAGGCATAACCTTTAAGCAGTTTCGTTGGAACACTGAAATTTCCTTTGGCAATATTCGTCAGCCTTGACAGTGTTGGTCCCATGCCTTACAGAATAAATACATTCCATATTCCTGCCAATTAAAACTATTACTTGCTTGTCCTTCTTTCTCTATACAAAAGAAAGGGGGGGGTTGTCGCCCTTTTCAGCTTTGAATCTCCTAATCATGGAAATCTGCTTCTCAAGAGTCTACAGGGTTTCCCTGCCATTTTCTTTCACTTGTCAGCTTTTTGTGTGACCTGGAATTGTTTTGTAAGCATTTAATAAAAATTCTGAGGAATATAAATGTTTGGCTCCAGTAGTGTTTTTCACCAATATAGAAAGGAACGTAGGTAGCTATAATGATATACATCAAGAACGAATCATAATATCAAAATCACTAAACACGTTTTACCCTTATAGATTTGTTATAAAATATAAGATCAACAAATACTTTTTACCAAACTTTAAACTAGACTCAGCACGATAAGTGTGTGTAATACACTTTTAACTAATTTGTGTGGTGTCTAAGAGTTGATGCAAGAATTCATAGCTAGTCAGTAAGGTGAATAAATTATAGAGGTGTCGCTTATACAAAGCGTGCTTTATGAGTGTAAAAGAGTGCGATAGATTGGATTGTATGGTTGGCATTCTGTTTTTAGGATATATTCCAAGAATGGGAGACATTTCTCATTAAAACTTGACTGTCTAGGATATATTTCAGATTGTTGCAATCGGTCAGTGATCTTCTCCATAATCTCTACTGTGGAAAGAAGTATTTTAAAAAATGAGGGCCTGTTCCAAATAGGGTTGCCAAATACCCCGGTTTGCCCGGTTTTTTTTGGGGGGGGGTTCTACCTGCCGCCGGCCAGATGGCCAGCAGGGGAAGCCCCATCCCCAACACCCACAGCCACCACTCTCTCTCCCTTTAAGTGTGTGGAACCCATGTTTCCTCCCAGGCCAGATCTCCGCTTGAGATCAGGCTTGCAGGGAAATGCCAGCTTCGTGCTCTTAAAGGGGAAATGCCAGCTCCTGCACTTAAAAGGGAAACGCCAGCTCCTTTAAGTGCAGGGAACTGCCGTTTCTGGAGATCTGGCATGCGGGCGGGGGCAGCGGCAGCGGACGTCCCCAACATGACGTCATCACGTTGGGGATGCCCCGCCCCCTCCAGGAACGCCCCCAAAGTTCCCCGGTGGAAGATGGACTTGGCAACCCTAGTTCCAAATTATTATGAAGTAGTGAGGAGCAAAAAAGAGAGTTAGCACCAATAACTGTCCTGGTCTTTTTGTGCTAGTTACATCTCTGTGCAATCATTCAATCATGCATAGACTGAACACATTAACAGGGAAGGGAGCGGGTGCACAGCGCAGTTGTAGCCAAGGCCTCTGGAGACAACGCAAGTGCTGAGGAAGGTCTGTATGAAGCCCTTCATGCATTCACCCAGCAAAAAGAAAGTTCCTCAGTCACAGCACCTAAGTGAATTGGGCTCCATGCAGGTATTCTTCTGAACAGGCAGGACCAGTGGCTAAGATCAGTGAGTGTTTGTAGAGGAGAATGTGTACACACAGGGCTTTTTTTGTGAAAAAAGCCCAGCAGGAACTCATTAGCATATTAGGCCACATCCAACAGCAGAAATGCATTAGCATATTAGGCCATACCCCTGACAGCACGACTCATTGGCTTATAGGCCACACCCCCATGTTGCCAGAAGTGTGCTCATCCATCCACACCCACCTTTTGCTTCTTATTCTGTTTACCTTGTAGCAGGAACTCCTTTGCATGTTAGGCCACACACCCCTAACGTAGCCAATCCTAATGAGTTTCTGCTGTTGGGTGTGGCCTATTATGCTAATGAGTTCCTGCTGGGTGTGGCTGACTTGGAAGCCAGCTAGAACTCCGTTCCTGTGTGTTCCTGCCCCTGTGTACACACTATTGGATGCTTGCACATAACCGATGAATGCCTGACAGATATTCTGATAACAGAAGGCTGAATTGGGAAGAAGACTGCGAACAAAACTGGCTTCTTTCATGGAATTCTAAGGGAGGACATAAAATGACAAGCTTTACCATATCCCGGTGGAAACTTCAGGTTTTTAGTCTGTTTCAATAATACTGTTTTAAAAATGAGATCATAGGGGACAGTGAAAAACAAACATTTGGAATGGCCATGATTGCTTGGAATGAAATTGCTGAGCGGTCGGGTTAGAACAGATAAAAGGAAGTCCTTCTTCACCCAAAGAGTGATTAACACATGGAATTCACTGCCACAGGAGGTGGTGGCGGCTACAACCATGGACGGCTTCAAGAGGGAATTAGATAAGCATATGGAGCAGAGGTCCATCAGTGGCTATTAGCCACAAGGTATAGATAGGGACTCTGGGGCAAGTGATGCTCTGTCTTCTTGGTGCTTGGGGGGGGGTCAACAGTGGGAGGGCTCCTAGTGTCCTGGCCCCACTGCTGGACCTCCTGATGGCCCCTGGTATTTTTGGCCACTGTGTGACAGAGTGTTGGGCTGGATGGGCCATTGGCCTGATCCAACATTGGCTTCTGTTATGTTCCTATGATCCTGTACCATGCAACTAGTTTTGCATAAACAAAAGGCAGGACAAGATTTCTGCTTGACCAGACCAAAGGCCAATTGGCTCTAGCATCCCGTTTCCTACAAGGGCCAACTGTCTCCCTTCTCCACCTTTATAGTAACCTCCTTAATGTGCTGCCTCTTTAGCAATCAGTTGTTTAGGGCAGCCTGGAGTTATAGTAACAGAGGAATCTGTTAGGTGCAAAACTACTTTGCACATGTCTTACCATAAATGTTTAAGTTATGATACAGACTCTAGCACACAGACAGTAACAACAGACCTTCCTGGACCTTATGAAGTAGTAAGCTTAGCTGAACCAACTGGTATGTGTTTTATTCTGGAGATGACCACCTTGCTTATTCCTGCTTTCCTTGTGGCACATTAAGTTATATCTGTTCAGTGCAAATCGTCATGAAATGGGGTTATGAAAGAATCTGGCTCAGTGAAGGAAGCTGTCCTTCAAGCGCCTTTCAGTCCTATGTTGTTAAACTCCTTATTAGATCATCTTCATGCAATTTTTTGCTATCATTCTTGGATTTGTTAGTATGGTTACATTAAAAGTGCCATGGCTTTGTACTGTTTTTTCCAACATATTTTTCTTGCAAGGGAATGCCATTGATTCACATACAACAGAGTTGTTAATCAGACTTGCTGCAGAGGTAGACACAATTGGGAAATGTAGCCAGTCCTAGCTGTGAGCATACTGATGTAATGTGTTATACCTGCTTTGGGGCACATTCAGACTTTCAATACATTCTTCAAAATGAAATTTGTGAATTTACTGAGGACCACAAGCCTATGCTAGTCAAAAATGTGATTTGTAGAACCGTATAAGGCCAAAACTAGCATGATAAGACTTGATTTATGACAGGTGGTGGTTGCTCTGTAATTAATACACTATCTTATGGAAGAATACTTGGACTGTATATATTATTTTGCTCGATATACCTTTTCAGTGTTCCATTAACTTCATTATTTAAAAACTGAAACTGTACTTCCCTTTCAAACTTCACTGACTTCATCTTTCAACTATGCAATAAACAGCATTTCTCTGTAAACATTTCTTCTTTAAAACTCTCTGCTAAAGTAAATGGATGAGTTTTTGTAATTCGTTCCTCGTATGATTTACTTTTTCTAAGTCATAAACTACTTTTTGCAGGTTCCTCCAAATATGCAAACATAAATTGTGAGACCAGGGAAATAACAGAGTTGTACCAAATCAAAGGAACCTATTTAAAGAAACTTACTTGATTGCTGAACCCATATCAATCCAGAATCCCAATTTTGTAACACTTTATGTTTGAAAACATACTGAAGGAACATATTTTAATTTTTATGTTTAGATCAGCTTTCGGGTATCTTTCGTAGACATTCGGGCAAACGGGTCAAACACTGGCTGACGATAATTCAACACTGACTTAAAATTAATAGGCCACAGGTGGCTAAGTGTATATTGATAATTATAATAATTTATACATCTCTAGTACATGAAAAAAACCTTGATCTCAAATGTGTCCCAAATGAATACATTCTAACCTACTCATCAATCATACCTCAACCATATACATGGTAATATTTCTGTGTCTGAGGACCGTGGCTTTAGCAGTCACTGGAAACTGATAACCTGTAGGTCCCTTTCAGTACTTAGAAGAAGAAGAAGAAAGAGATTGGATTTATGCCCCGCCCTTCACTACCCAAAGGAGTCTCAGAGCGGCTTACAAGCTCCTTTCCCTTCCCCTCCCCACAACAGACACTCTGTGAGGTAAAAGAAGAAGAGATTGGATTTATGCCCCGCCCTTCACTACCCAAAGGAGTCTCAGAGCGGCTTACAAGCTCCTTTCCCTTCCCCTCCCCACAACAGACACTCTGTGAGGTAAAAGAAGAAGAGATTGGATTTATGCCCCGCCCTTCACTACCCAAAGGAGTCTCAGAGCGGCTTACAAGCTCCTTTCCCTTCCCCTCCCCACAACAGACACCCTGTGAGGTAGGTGGGGCTGAGAGAGCTCTTGACAGAAACTGCTCTTTTTCAAGAACAGCTGTGCCGGAGTTATGGCTTGCCCAAGGTCACATCAGCAGGTGCAAGTGGCGGAGTGGGGAATCAAACCCGGGTCTCCCAGATTAGAGTCCGCGCACTTAACCACTACACCCAACTGGCTCTTACTGTATGCTAGGCAAAGATATTCTGTCTGTGTCTCTATGGGTTCCTTGTAAATGCCGGTCGTGACTTATCAGGGGGCCGAGATTGCAGCCCAGGCGAGGAGGAGGCTATGGAGATGGTGCCACCCCTGGCCGCTTGGCCAGATGCGCTGAGGGCGGTTGCTGTTGGCTGCTACTGTGGCCAGACTCCTGCATTATCAGGGGGGCAGCCAGGGAAGTGCGGGGAGTTTGGCGGGCTCTGATGTGGTGCCGCAGAGCCCCGCCAAGGCAATTTAAGTGGTGCCGCACCTGGGCTTCCCCGCGCAATTTGTTCCTGCTCTGCGGGTGATCGGAACAGGAAATCAGCTGCATATCAGCAGGCTGGGGCAGAGGGGAATGTGTTGGCCTTCCCTGATGGAAACGGTTTCGCAGGAAGTTTAACCACGACCCACTTTATAACGCACCTTGGAGAGAATGGCTCACCAGCTCGGAAAGTTTCCAAGTTGCGCCAAACGATATCCCCAGACCTTCAGATCCCCGCCG